CCTCAGCCTCCCAAAGTACTGGGATTACAGGTGTGATCCTGTAATGCAATATTTCTTGGTAACACTTTCAGATGAAGTCATTTCATTTAGTATTAATATTTCCTAAAGCACCGAATTCTGTGGTATGTGCACTCCACAAGCCAAACATATAATATACTTGGAGAGAGAAAATGTACACCTACAAGATAGCTCAAAGTGCAAGGCAGTCTGTGATTACCCAACAAAATGCAGAACGAGGCATCCAGTGCAAATGAGATGGAGGGAAGGGAGCTAGTGAGAGGGCTGTGGAGAGGCTGGGAAGGCCACAGGGAGGAGACTGAACATGATGCCAGGAGGGAATGGTAGGGTTTGGCTAGATTTGGGGAGGACACTGAGGGTGTGAGTATGCCCATGAGAGTGTGTGACAGTAAATCCCTGCAAAGGCCCGCTGGCTGGCAGGAGCCAGGTGTGCTTAGAGGTCAGTAGGGGACCAGCCTGGCTGGAGCAGTGTCTCCTCTTGGGAAATCGTCAACAGGAAAGATAGGGTTGGGCAAGAGGACAATGAATGAATAATGCTGTAAACTTTAGATGCTGGATTCACACAGAAAATCTCTTTCTCCTTAAAAATCTGATGCTCTTCTCCAAGAGTGGCCATACATCAGCTTCTCCAGATGACCAGAACTGTCCATCAGACTCAGATTGTGTGGACAAGAGCTGTACCTTCCGCTGACTTCTCTATTTTCTGATATGGAGGGATAATTCCTCCTGTACCCAGTGTGCCTAGGCAGTGGTCTTCACGTAAACAAGTGTTTAATAGGTGACGTCAGTAGCACTGGAAGAGGGGTACTGTAACTGTTTTTTTAATTTTTTTTTATTTTTTTATTTTTTCTTGAGACAGAGTGTCGCTCTGTCGCCCAGGCTGGAGTGCAGTGGCCGGATCTCAGCTCACTACAAGCTCTGCCTCCCGGGTTCATGCCATTCTCCTGCCTCAGCCTCCCGAGTAGCTGGGACTACAGGCACCTGCCACCTCGCCCGGCTAGTTTTTTTGGAATTTTTTAGTAGAGACGGGGTTTCACCGGGTTAGCCAGGATGGTCTCAATCTCCTGACCTCCTGATCCGCCCGCCTTGGCCTCCCAAAGTGCTGGGATTACAGGCTTGAGCCACCGCGCCCGGCCTGTAACTGTTTAAACATCTTCAGTATTCTGAAGGTCACTGGAAATGCCTTCTTCACGTCCAGCACCTGCCTCAATCTCAGTTATGAACACTGGAGGAGACTAAACTCGAGTTACTAGGTGGGAAGCAGTCCCTCTGGACTTCATTCATTTAAGATGGAACAAGCATATGACCTCTTTTAGAAAACAAAACAAAAGTTTTCTATCTCTTGCCTGGGAGCTTCAAGCTTTCCAAAACAGGAGACTATCCAAGCAAGAAAAGTTATTCTTTGAAAACATCAAATCATGGTGACTTTAGAGTCTTATGCACAGATAACAGTTCCCGTGTTGTACGGTTTCAGAGAAAGCATTCATTTTTGGCAGATACATGTGAAGAACACAAGTGTTTTTGAAAAGAGATTTGATCCTGGGACTGAGCCAAGGGTTTGTCAGGCTAACAAGAGAAAAATGCAAATCTAGATTTCACTTTTTGAAGGGGGAAAAAAAAAATACTACCACCCACTGCCTCCACTGGCTCTAGTTACTATTCAAACCTTAGGACTAAATTGAAATATTCATTTATCCAGGGCTTTTTCCCAGTCAGGCATTATTGGTTGAAGTCATAATTTATTGGGCTATGAACACTTGATTATATAAACATTTCTCCATTTAACAGACCCAGCCATCCTTGTAATAGATTTTATAATTACCCTAGCTACATTGTCCCAGTGATGAAGCTGCAGTACACATGTAATTTGGAAGAACGTATCTGGAAAGAAAAGGGTCTCACCATTGCATCTGCTTTATGCTTCATTCGTTTGGCTTCTTGCATAAAATAATCGGCACTGCGAGGCCTACAAGGAGGGAATGATATTAAACGTCATTATGGCTTAAGTGCAAGATCTTTTTAAAATATTCCTTCCTTTCAGTCAAACTTAAGGCGCAATTTAAAAACTCTGCTTAATGCAGAATTAAGTGTGTTCTCTGCCTTTCCAAATTACTGCCTATATGTCAAATACCACAATAAACTTTCTCTTAAGTTAGCAATTCGAAACACACTCAACGTATGCCAGTAGTCACTATTTACAGTGGCTTTAACATGGCCCCCTAGTGCCTAATTTGTGAATATATTTTTTATTGTATGGCAAAAAAAACAAGTGAGAAATCTTATTTTATGCAATATTTAAATAAAACAATCCCCTTTTAATGTAAACATTGTACATATACCTCATAATTGTATGGATATATATGGGTGAGTATATTTATGTATCCTTATGAAAATAAGTGCATTTATATGCATATCTAGTACCCAGAGTTTTATGTATATATATTGAATTATCTTAAAGCCTCACAGTGAAAAATAAAAAGAGATAGTGTTGGATGATTACATTCCAGTTGTAATGAAGTTAATTGTCAAATGATGTCTACCTTGTAACAATGCAAACATGCCATGTATTCTCTAGAGCTCTGATTAGCTAGCTGGTAAACATTAACAGCAGACATGTGGATTATTAAAGCAATAACCCTGGCCAGCGGTGACTCTGCCGGGAGATGAAGGTAACTCATCCAGAGACTGATTTGAGCGTGTGTAATGAGGTCCAGTGACGCTAAGGTACTCATTGGACAGTGCCTTTAAGTGTTTAGCCCGACAGATTAAAAAAATGACCTCCTTATAGGCACCAGCAGCATAAACTTTATATAATCAATAAACTTGATGTACTCATGAATATCAAATATAAGCCAGGACTCTCTGAATGGGAGATACGGCGGAAGTAGTGATATTCATCATGGACTGTTTAGCTTATTATTGCAGGCTTATTCTGAACTGCCTTATTTCAGATCCTAATGGGATCTTTTACCTTATTGTAATATTAGGTAGTCAGAGCGTTCGTGTATCCAGAGAGGTCAAAATGCTTAGAAAAGCAATGTGTGACAATGCTTTTCTGTGACAATGACATTGCCTTTTAATCAAACAAACCAGAATCACAGCATAGTTTTGGGGTCCAGATGGCTCCTCACCCCACCCCACGCACCCCACTGAGGGCTGGAACCGTTCATTCACTGTGCTGGGTCTTTCACTGAGGGTGAGGCCTGAGGTCTCCTTCCTAGGAAGGCCCTGCTCCTACCACTCCATCTTCTCTCTTCCAGCTCCTGGACACCCATGCTTTCCCCATATGAGTGGCTTTGTTGTTGCCTTGGAGTTTTCCTTCTTTGTCCACAAATTGACACATATTGTCAGAATGTCCACATATTGTCTGGTCTTTGGTTCTAACTCTGGCAATTGACGTTATTGTTGTTGTTATTGTTGTTGTTTGAGAAAGGTTCTCACTCTGTTGCCTAGGCTGGAGGGCAGTGGTACGATCACCGATACTGCAGCATCGGCCCCCTGGGGTTAAGCGACCCTCCCACCACAGCCTCCCAGGTAGCTGCGACTACAGGCATGTGCCGCGATGCCTGGCTAACTTTTTGTATTTTTAGTAGGGACGGGGTTTCGCCATGTTGTAAAGGCTGGTCTTGAACTCCCGAGCTCAAGTGATCCACCTGCCTCAGCCTCCCAAAGTGCTGGGATTACATGGCTTTCATCACCTTGCCATCCTGCTCACAGACCTAAAATCAATCTTAAGGGTCTATGAGATCAAATCTCAGTTCAGATCCCCAAAAATCGTGCCTAACCCACTTAACTATGTCGCTCATTCAAGAAGGCCCTTGACCAAAGTCAGAGGTGGCTCCTCATTGTCTTGATAACATGGCCTCCCGGTCCGAGGAGCTCTGCTCATCACGTCCGCCACCTGGAACACTCTCCTGTCTCTTCATTCACTGAGTGTCTTCCAGGAGCCAAATGTTGCCTGCCCCTCAATTTCCCCCGCTGTAAGGCATTCCGAGTAACCTTGGTCCATGTTCACCTTTGTCCTTCCTGACCTCACACAGCACTTCTTGTTTCCTACACTTGGTATTTCATTATCTTCTGAGCTGTACTGGGCATGTGTGCAACCTGGTTGCTGGTTCATCTGTAGTAAGGACCATGCTGTAGACCTCTTTGATCTTCCCCACCCTGTAGTTTTTGGCACACGGTAGAAGGTAAGCAGGTCTCCCTTGGATGAATGGCATTGAATTCATTTTGCGCTTAGAAGAGTGGTGCCTTCCGACGGGGTGCAGCATCGCGTCCAGTGAGCCAGAGAGTGTCTCCATGGCAACCTGAAATTCTCCACATCATTATCTGTTCTATACTCTAGTATATAAGTTAGGTCATTTTTTTTTTCTTGCCCTGTTTTGTCACTAACACGTCGCTACTTCAAATGCATTTCGTTTTCATTAAAGGATTATCTTGGTAATAAGCTATGGCTTCTTAGTTTCCACCAGCCTTCTAAGTTACCCTTATGGATGGCAGGGGCTCATAATTCCTAATATAAGCTCCTTAATCACTATTGTTTTCATCTGCAGCATAGGAGCATATTTTAAAATCCTGATATGGAGGCTGAGTCACAGACTCTCACAATAGCGCATGTGGGTAAGTAACACACCTCATTTTCTGACTGTATCAGAGCAGCTATAATCAGAGCAGTAACCTGAGATGCTAATAGCATAGGTACCATCTGGAGGCCACTTACGAACACATTTGTTAGAACTCTCATCTTTGCATAGAATGGAGGGCTCACTGTAATGAGTCACTGAAGATTGCCTGATGATTGGCCCATTTTCTCCTTTCGGGTGATTTCTGGTGCCGTACTTCCAGAGCAGATCATTATAAAGCCAGTGGGACCAGTGGGATGTCACCCAGTGTCCAGCCTTGCCACCAACGCACGCTTTCACAAAGGCATCCCTTCTGACAGCAATACACAAGTCAGTAGGAAAAGTAAAACTGCTGTCACCATTGTGACCGTTATAGAATAGAATATAGCAAAGGTACTAAAATGAGATCTTATCTCAGTGTTCAAACAGATTTTCCATCTAATCTTCTATTTTTTTTTAAACTTGGAAAACCTAGAGTTTTTGCCTTCCATTTGTGTAATAAAATTCCTCCCATTGTTTTCCACGGTGATGGTATTTTATGATGATAGACGAGCAAACCTAATCAAAGTTTAATTAAACACCATAAATGTAACTAACTGTGAATCTCGGGCTCTTCAGAAACGGGGCGTGAGTGATCTGAAAGCCAGAGCTTAGCCGCATGCATCTTCATTATGAGAGCTCTCTCCAACAAAAGCATTCTGAGCACTTAATCCAAATAGAAATGTTTTCTTTTCTTCTCTTCCCCCTCCCGCCACCCCCACCTGGAAACACACGGCCTTGGTTCTCAGCAACATCAGGGTCTGAGCTACCCCCATATTTCTTCTGGCACAGGAATATTAAAGCAAGCTTGCTTTTTGTTCTCCTTTGTGACTGGGATAGAGTTGAATGGTCTCCCACGGAGAGCCTGGCAGGCTCCTTTCTGTAATCCCCACCTCTGTGAAATGCCGCCCTCGGTAGAACCAGCCTGTTTTGTGAAAACTGGCAGGGATGAGAGCTCAATGTGTTTGAACAACAAGTTCCTCGGCGCGGCAGAAATTGGATGATTTTCTTCGGGAAGTTGAAATCCAAATCAGACGAATAGACAACTGCATACCAAATGAATTCATCATCTGCTATCCGATATGTCAGCTTGTCATCTGACAAGCCCCAGAGGTGTTAATATGTCCCAAGCTTTGAGGAGAATGCATAAGAAGTTAAGTAATTATTTTTAATACACAGAGTCAGTGATGACTACGGATGAGGGGACTTCAGAGTCTGCCGCTCCAGGATGCTGGCACCGGCTTTCCAGGCCCTTCCCCACAGACGCAGGTAGATTGCATCTGGGTAGCAAGGATTCAAAACAGCTTTTATTTCCACAACTTTGATGTTGGCTGGGGCCCCAGAGTCCCTGGAACCTGGCTTCTCCCAGGCACAAGCGGTCATTCACTGTGTCTTCCAGGCCACAGGCTCCTGCCGGTGACTGCCTCCCTCTCAGCTGGGCACAGGAGGCAGGGTCTGCTCTGCGGGATGCTCAGGCTAAGGGGGGCAGGTTTGGGTCATTGAATCCAAAGTAACTTTCTGTTGAAATGGGAAATTATCAATCTGATGGTTGTTTTTCTCTGAATGACATTTAAAATACTCTTACAAAACTCTAAAAATGATCGGACAGCTGAGATTTCAATCCAGGAGATCTGAATGTCCTTGTCCTCCCGCACCCCGCCTTGGCAAATCCTACTCTCCATTTCTTTCTCTCTCTCTCACTCATGCTTACTCTCACGCTCTGTTTTGGTTAGAACAAAAGAAGCACCTGGCCTTGAGACAGGGATTTCATAATGGGAGAAATTCTAAATGAAGACCAATAAAGGCTTAATGATTAATCAGGAAAACAAAAAGGTAGGGTCCTGCTTTGAAAGGACTAGGAGAGGAGACCCTCAGGAGAACATGCCCACTGCAAGCCCTGGGTGGGTGGGGGGGTGGGAGAACCTTCCCTGCTGTAATTTCGCCTACTCAAGGATCTCAAGTGGTGTCCTTTGACTAAATCATGCTGCTAGGGATCCAACCTTTTACAATATGGGAGTCTTCCCATCCTCTATAAAATTAAAATCCTTTTAGCTTTGAGACTGCTGTGCTAAGTACATTACAACTGTCAAGTCCCTCTTCCTTCCTCGTGGCCACATTTCACACGCCATGACCTTCAGTGCCTGACGTCTATAGTCAGTCTTCCCTCACTGTCAGGAGGTTCAGGTAGCCGGGCTCCTGTTATGGGCACCATGGGGACAGAAGGGACGTTTGGTGGTCTGGCTGAATGTGCTGATTGTGACTGACTTTTCCATGTGACATACAGGCAGCAGCCAGCACTTCCTCCTGGGAGCGGCAGGCGGCCCTGGCACCTGGGGTTCTCTGGCTTCCTAGCACAGCAGAACGGCGGCAGGATGGAAGAGGTGGTTTTCCAGCCAAGCATCTCATCACCACGTAGCTCTGTTCAGGACTTCTGTACCGAGGCCTTCGTGACACAGGTGTCCGCTCTCCATTTTCCCCAGCCGAGAATTCCCCTGTCACTAATTATGATACCAAGTGACTTCCAGCTCATGGCTTTGCACTAGTAAGATCAGTTTCTCGGCCTCAAGTTGAATCAAGTGCTATCTATTCATTGACATACATTCTTACAGATCTGTTTTTTAAACAAATGTTTGGTAATCATACGAGTGTCACCTTAATACCGTAGCTGTCAAGCAGTGAATGTTGTGTATTTGCTAAATGTCAGGGGAGGAGGTGAGGTCGCACTGCCACCAATATGAGCCCACAACGTACAAAGGACAGGCTGACCTGGATCACATTTTTAAAATAAATGTTATTCTGCTCAGTTCTGTCTATATCCCAAAGGAACTAACTGGTGCCTGTTTACAGGCATTCCAGGAATTACAGGCGCACGCTACCACATCCGGCTAATTTTTGGTAAGTAACATAGGAAAAGGGGCTTGGAAGCCCATGGATTTACATTCACCTGCATGTAGATTCCTTACAGTCATAGAAAAAAAAATCGCAGGCACTCTTTCCTGGGAATGTCATTTATAATTCAGCTGGGTTCATTCAACACTTGCTATTGAGAGCCTACTGGCTTCAGCTGTTGTCTGAATCCCATGTTTATTCAACCATTAACACGTATTTATAATACAAAGAGATGAGTTTACTTTTTTAAAAAAGCTGCACGATGCGGCTTTAAAAATTAAATGACAGTGTGGCATCTGTTACTTTTTGGATCACTGTAACTGGATTTTCATCAACTTGAAATCACTCCAGTGCTAATTATCTAGTCCTTTCTTTTCTTCCATTGGTGGCCTCTCTTTGGTCATTTCACTGCTTGTTTTTAAAAAGGGGCTAAAGTTCACTCTTCACCCTGGGTGAAGAGAAGTCAAGGAAAGTGATGGGGCTGAGGTCCTCCTCTGTCACTGAGGGTGCTGGTGGGGAAGCTGGCACAGAGTGGAGGTGGGCAGGGAGGAGGCAGAGAATTAAATTTAAGTAATCCTAGGAAACCTTCCTGGAGAGGTCACCATGTGCCTCTCTCTCCCCTGAAGAACTGAGAATTAATTAATCATTATACTTCAACTCTTGTGCCTGTACTTGGCACTTAGTAAGTACTCCATATGTGCCAAATGGAACCTGGGAGAGGTTCTGCACAATTTTAGGTGACATCTTAGCCCAGTGATCTCTTGAAGGTTGCTTATTTTTACTGCTTAAAGGAAGAGACGATGCCTATTTTTGCTTTTTTTCTTTTTGATATGAAGGTACACTCTTGTGGCCCACACTGGAGTGCAATGGTGCGATCTCAGCTCACTGCCAACTTCCACTTCCTGGGTTCAAGTGATTCTCCTGCCTCAGCTTCCCGAGTAGCTGGGATTACAGGCACATGCTATCACGACTGGCTAATTTTTCTTTTTTGTGTTTTTAGTAACGATGGGACCAGCCTATGTTGGCCAGGCTGGTCTCAAACTCCTGACCTCAAGTGATCCACCCCGCTCGGTCCCGCAGAGTGCTAGGATTACCGGCATGAGCCACTGTGCCCGGCCTATTTTTGCTTTTCAAGCTTGAAGAATCTTTCCACAACTTTCTTAGTTCGACGGTTGAGTGGCTGTTTGAGTTGCATATTTATTTTACTGTTATGGATTTCAAATCAGTCGGGACACATGGCAATTGGAATGCGACATCTAGCTCTCCATATGATGGATATGAAACAGGCTTTTTTATTCTATTATATCTATATCCATAAAAGGAGAAACAGTTTCATTGTGGCTGCCAGCCAGGAAAATTATACGTATTGCTAATGGGAAGAACAAATGATAACAGCCTCTTTGTTGACACTGATAGAGACAAAATTATATTAGTTTCAGCCAATAACAGCCTCTTTGTTGACACTGATAGTGACAAAATTATACTAGTTTCAGCCATAGCAGATTGAGAGACATTTCCTCTTATAAAAAGTCCAAGGGCTGCCAGCCATGGTGGCTCCTGCCTATAATCAATCCCAGCACTTTGGGAGGCTGGGGTGGGAGGGCTGCTTGAGGCCAGGAGTTTGAGACCAGCCTGGGCAACACAGTGAGACACTTTTTTTTTTTTTT